GAATATCAAATATTCTAATAAAATTAATAGATTAGTTTTTAATTATTTATAATAAAAAGTTATTGAATATTTTAATTTGTATACAAATCGTATATAAAATAAAATTCGAATTTTAAATCTTAATAACTTTTTATAGAAAATCGCCAAAATTCTGAAAATCTGTAACTGAGTTAATAACTATATTTAGAACTTATATTCAAAATTTGATCTAATTGTATTCATTATTAAGAAAGTTATAAAAGTCAAAAATCACTGTTTTTGGTGTAAAAAGTGGCCCAAAAGGGGGGGTGGCCGAAAAGTAGGGTAGTAGACTTACTAGAGTACTACTTAGTAGTTTCTGAAAGATCTAGAATTTTCGAGGGGTACTAATATTTCTTTCTTTTTGTATATCGATTTGATAAATTGAATATTAAAGGCAATTGATTACAAGTCCATCTATAGGAATACTAAGAGATAGACACAAATATATATATACGTTTGTAATGATATCAAATTTGATGTTGATCTTCCTCTTATACATCGGTTTCTCATCTTCATCTCAATCCCCATCTCAATCTCAATCTCAATCTCAATCTCAATCTTCATCTCAATCTCGCAATCTCGCAATCTCGCAATCTCGCAAGCTCTATTAGACTATTACATACACAATTAATTAACCATTTATTCATTCAATGATTCTCATTCATTCACAATATGGTTCCATTCCCCAATCCGATATCTATCTCTGAGCTGAGCCATTCAATTGGCAGACGTGGCATATCCATATCCATATATATATCTCCTCCAACCCAACATTCGAAATTAAAGAACGAAAATATATAGTTTAGTGTCTTGCATATAGTACATATAAAAAAGGCCTACAGCGACAGACCGAGTAGTAGTAGTACTAGAGTGAGTACAGTACCGATAGTTATCCGATCCAGTACCTACTCCGTACTTGCTGTCAAAAATCAAATCAAACTCAAAGTATGATGATGCAAAATGCAGGAACTCGAGACAGTGTTTCATATTTTTCCACAAGCAAGCTCGAACATGGATGGGATGACTGCAGGACAGGATCGTATCGAGTGGGGGGGGAGGGTTTCTTTCTCTCGAGTAGAAGTGGGATGTTAGTTTGTTAAGCCAGACCCCCTCCTTCATTGTGCGAATTGCTGTGAGAGACATATTCGTGCTAACTACGAGTAAGTTAGATTTCCGAGTTTACTCGTAAAGCAGCTCCTAATTGGTGCTTGACCGGATATAACAAATGCCATTTCATCATCGGTGTGTAAGTATTCTTGTGGGGTATGATAGTATCAAAGTATCTATTCGGTGAGCTTAAAACCTTCACCTACAATACAACCAACTCTTCTCCATCACAACCCAACCTGAATGAGACAACTGCATATTATATATATACTTCTCTTCTCTAGGTCTTTTTATCGTATCGTTAACCGCTCTTTTGAAACAATACAATTTATTATTAGGCTTTAGCTTATGCTTGCTTACTTAAGCTTATCGCCTGATCTGATTGTTGCCCCGCTAGCATTAAAGGTAAACAATCACATACCGAATAGCTGCAGGTACTGATGTATATACAGATTCAATATCCACCAATCAATCAATCTAAATAATCATAATCATAAAACATTTTTTTCCTTATTTAAATCAAATCCATTCAATAAACATACGTGTATACCGTGTATATTATATATTACAGTATATATATATAACTTTGTATTTTACATACATCGATCGAAATCAAGAAAGTTTTCGATACAGTAATTCAATCCGCCTTGATCTAATTTATCTAATTATAACCACCCCCCAAAAAAAAAGAATCTAGGTGGTTGGGAAAACGGTCAACTCTATTCCATTCAAATTATCATTCCCAGCCCAGCAATTCTTTTTTTTTCTCTCTCCAAAAGAGCCAAGTTCAGCTAGCTAGCCAGCCAGCCAGCCATCGACATTTATATATTAAGTGATACAGTACCTACCTACCTACTATACCGGTATTCGTATTCCCAACCCACACACATATACACACATTTGCTGCAGATTCTCACTTTTCACTTTTACTTCCATACATACATACCTACGGACGGACGGTACTTGCTTGCTTCCTTCCATTCCAGAGATAAGATACAATACCACACCACACTGGCATACCATACAATTTAGCTATATCGATAGCGATAATTTATATCCGAGATAAGAAAATTTCTGGAGATACATACAGTACAGTCCTACTGTATTAACCTACCTACCTACATACATTCGTTTAGAAAGAGACGACTTCACGATTCGATTAGAGAGTTACAGTACTTACTTCGAGAGAAGAGCAAAGAAAGGAAAGGAAAGGAGGATAGCTTTTATTGACGAAAGTGGGGTTTTTGGGATTTTGGGATTTTGTCCAATTTATATTTCACACCGCTGCTGCTTGCTTGCTTGCTGTATGTGAAGGAGTCATTCATTCAATACTGGAAGATCTTTTTTTGCTGGAGGAAAGAGATCGAAAAGAAAGAAAGAAAGAAAGAAAGAAGTGTCAACAGTCAGTCTGAGAGATTGATTTGACAATACAGTACACACGATTTTTTTATTGTTGTACAGTCTTTTCACGAGTCGATTCTTCATATTTACGACTCATATACTCGTACATATCTTCGATTTAACCTATCATACAATCACATACATACCTCACCTACCTCACCTACCAATCGACAAAATGCGACTCACCCAAGCATCATCACCACAAATCCTCTCACTTCTCCTCACCCTCTCACAATCCTCCCCGGTATCCGCCGGTCCATTCCCCAAAGATGATATTCACGATGTAGGATTTTCCTACCTCATGGATCGCTCCTGCGTATCCTACTGCGGCGCCGACAACCAATACTGTTGTACCAGCGGACAAGCCTGCTACACCTCCGCTGGAAACGTCGCCTACTGCTCTGCCTCTACCGCCGGTAGCGGCTCAGGAGGATACGCCGTATTCACCACCACGTACACGGAAACCGATCTGATCGTCGGAACCAGCACATATAGTTCGTACTACGCGACCACGACCTCCTCGGGCAGCGCCGCCATCTGCGATACTACGACGGGGGAAACTTCTTGCGGTACTATTTGTTGCGCCGGTGATCAGATGTGTGAGTATAGCGGCCAATGCACGGCGAGAACATCCGCTTGGACCTATACTGCTACATCGGGCGCGTATTCGGCGCCCGTGCGTCCTACGAGTGGAGGGTCCACTTCTACGTCTACCGTGTCGGCCACGACGACGGTACCGTTTATTGCTCCTGCGACGGCGAGTGGAAGTACATTGCCCATTACGAGCAACAGCTCGAATAATTTGAGCGGGGGCGCCATTGCGGGGATTGTTATTGGCACTATTGTGGGTGTGATGTTATTACTACTTTTATGTTTCTGCTGTGTGGTGAAGGGACTTTGGGACACGATCCTCGCGCTGTTCGTGGGTAAATCGCGGAGAAAGGAAGGAGGGACGAGGACCGAGCGGATCGAGACTGTAGAGCGCTATTCGCGTCATGGATCTACGGTTGGGGCTGGAGCGGGAGCAGCGGGTGCGCGGAGAGAAAATACAAGGTGGTTTGGGGGAGCGCGTAATGATAGGCCGGCGAGAGTGGTGGAGGAGAGGAAGAAGAAGAGTAGTGGGTTGGGGGGTTTGGGAGCCGTAGGTGCGGGATTGGCGGGGTTGGCGGTGGTGTTGGGGTTGAAGAGGAAGGAGGAGGAGAGGAAGGAGGAGAGGAGGGAGGAAAAGAGGAGGCCTGGGGCTGGGGCGACGGCGACAGTTACGGATTTGAGTAGCTCTTATTATACGGATAGTTATACGGGGACTAGTGCTAGTGAGTATTTTCCTTTCCTGTTTTTGGTTTTGGAATGAAGTGAGAGTTGGGATAAAAACTGACAATTGAATTACTAGGCTCAGCAAGTTCGGATCGGAGAACGAGGGATGCGAGAGATGCGAGAGATGCGAGGGAACCACCGAGGAGAGATAGGAGTGTGAGGAGATAAAATCATATTTCTGGATTGATTATCTCGTGCTCGTTCGTATCTTTAGATCTTTTTCTTTCTCTCTCTCTCTCTTCATCTGGTTCTCGTTTCTCGTATCTCATATATTCATGAAACGAAATGATATGAAATGATATGAAAGGAAATGAAACGAGAAGATGATGATGATAATAATGATGATGAAGTGGATACATAACATATACAATGATACCCACTGATCAAAAATACATAAATACCAAACAAATATTAAAAATATACTATTGTCAAATGGGGGGGTTTTTTTTTCAGGCATTAGTGTTGTGATGTGTTGTGATGTGATATAATTGCTGTTAATGAATGGATGAATGGATGAATGGATGAAAGAAAGGAAGGAAGAATAGATACAGGAATGAATGAAGGAATATATGGAAGAATGGAAAGAAGGAAAAGACAATATATCGATTTGAGTATTTATGCGTGCGTGTGTATGTGTGCATATGTATCTGCAGATAAAAAATGTAAACTGGTATATAGGGGATGAAATAGAGAGACGAAGGAGAGATGAGGATTGAGATAGGGTGAGAGGTGAGGGATGAGGGATGAGGAAGAAAGGAGGGGATAGGAAGGAGATAGGAAGGAGATGGGAGATGGGTGGGGTGTTGGGGACTTTTCTTTGGTTGTATTTTTATAAATTAATGAATGAGCTTTTTGGGGAGGTGGGGAGGAGGAAGGGGGGAAGGAGGGAAGGAGGGTATTATGTATATTTTGTATGAGATTATTATGTATATGTGAAGATGAGAGATGAGGGATGAGAGATGAGGGATGAAAGTTGGAAGATGGGAGATGAAAGATGAAAGATGTAAGATGTAAGATGTAAGATGTAAGATGTAAGATGTAAGATGTAAGATGTAAGATGTAAGATGGGTAAAAATTAGATGAAGGAATAGAGGAATAAAGGAATAGAGGGATAGAGGGATGTATAATAAGAAGGGGGGAGACTGGGTTGGGTATATTGTGTGGGATGAGTGAGGAGTGATGAGTGATGAGTGGAAATTGGATGGATAGATAAATGACTGGATAATGGGAAAGGGAAAGGGAAAGCAAGATAGATAGTGAAAAGATAGATAGATAAATGATAGGGTGTGATGATATGATATGATGGGAGTATATAAAATATAGATATAACTTGAATACAAATACTGGAGTACAAATTTAAATGAGTACAAATACAATACATACTGATTGATGTTATATTATATATATATATATGCTAGACAGGACCCTATTTATTATACATAAATGAATACTCGAGCAAAATAAATAATCTTTATAGAATTCTTTGGATTTTTGGTTCTAGCCTGTTTTTGGGATTTATGGTTTGAGTTTTTATACTATAGTTAATACTAATGATATGAGTATATTAATCTAGATACAAATGTATCTTTAATTCAAATTCAAACACATTTTAAATTTTGATATAAATCCAATATTATACAACACAATACAATACAAATAAAAGAAGATCTGTTCCGGGCCATAGCTCAATATCCCTATTGTGAAATGCCCTTAGCTCATGGCTAAATGAGCTAGGTTTCACAGTGAGCTAGCTCATTTCGAAATGTACGTAGGGCATTTCGCAATGGGGATATTGAGCTATGGCCCGGCACAGATCAGAACAAAACAAAACAAAACAAGACGTCAATTACAAAAGTTGATTACCTAGGTAGTCTTTAAGTTTCCAATTTAAATTATATTAAACTAAACTATCTAGGTGAGGAAATGGGGAATGGGGAAATGGGTGAGTATGGAAATGTTTTATGGGTATGGGTGTAATGCTATATTGAATACCGGTATACTCGAGTATATTGTATGTATGTAGTATTGCCAGTGTGATGATGTGATGATGTTGGATGTTGGAAGCAAGCAGAAATTAGGAGTTTAAAGATAACTTTAATAAGGATAAGGACTTGGACGAGGGGGGGAGGGGAGAGGGTGGACGGGGGGATGTAGGGTATGGTTGGGGCTGGGGTTGAGGAAGTAGGTAGAATTGGAGAGGTAGAGAGGTGGAGAGATGGAGGCGGGGAGAAAAGGAGGAAGGGATGGAGGGAGGGAGGAAGGAATGAAGAAAAGACGGGAGGAATGGGGTATAATAATGGGGTATAAGTATATTGAGTTTGATATTTTTTGAGTGTGTGGTAAGGAGGGGAAAGGGGGCGAGTGGTGCAATATTGTAATGTTGTAATGTGATGGGGCTGGGAAAGTGGGTGGAAAATATCGGGAGAGGTGGAGGAGGATATT